CTATGGAATTTTCCAGTAAAGTATACCACTCCATTACCTTGTATGGGGGTCCTCTAGTAGACGACAATGTATACCCTTTTATATCTTCATAAATATAATGCCTGGATATAATTTTCATGCTAAAAACAGAAAAGCATTGATAGTGTACCTGTACTATTAGGTGTTGGAGTCTGGTGATTTCCAAGTAATGTTACAACAGGTCCAACTGCCAAGGACGAAGGTCGTTGTTCTGATTTGCAAAGCTGAGCTGGTTCTAAAGCTATGAAAGACAAATGAGATTGTTTACTATCCATGTTGTATTATATCCTCCATGCAGAGCTCCTTCCCTACCCCTAGTTTTACCTATTGTCCTTAAAATGCATGAATATAAAATGAATAGAACTCAAAAAAAGGAATACAGAAGAAATTTAATGGAATGAACTCTAAATTAGGGAATCCCACAACATCCAGTAAACACAAAACCACCATCCATTTGAAATCAAAAGGAACCTGTCTTTTCTCTATGTGCCCCTGTATATATCAGCCCACTTTTGGAAACGTGAAGCTCATAAACAAAGGTAAAACCCTTGCCTTTTTATAAATGTATCTCTCAAATATATTCATTTCAATAAGAAAACCAGGCTACAGGAAAAAATGTTTTCCAAAATGTAAACAGATGAATCAAAGCAACAGAATCTATTGGCTAAACAATTAAACTGTTAAGCAAGTAACAATTATATAGAACAAATTTAGAATCCAGTGGCACCTTTAAGACCAACAAAGGTTTATTCAAGGTATGAGCTTTCATGTACAAGGCACATTTTTACAAATACATTGGAATGGTGTTTGAAAAAGTGTGCCTTGCACATGAAAGCTCATACCTTAAATAACCCTTTGCTGGTCTTAAAGGTGCCACTGGACTCTAAATTTGTTCTACTGCTTCAGACCAACGCAGCTGACCACCTAGATCTAACAATTATATAGTTATTTGCCAGCAGTTCAAGAAAACAATTCTGCAAGTATTCTTCAAGTATTATACCTGGAGGTAAGACAGTCTGTGTGGGCATTGTGCTGATCACGGAAGGTTCCAATGGACTAGGCTGATAGATTGCATCAACAGGGTTAATAGTGCTCTGTGATACAAAAGAAAAAGCAAAAAAACTTTTTTTGAAAAACAGTGATGTGTTCTATGTAAGAACTCTTCAAAAGCAGCAGCAAAACCTGAGAGAGAAAAAAAGTGACAGAGGAAATGTAAAAAGATTCCCTCAAGTATTAAGCAGTCTAAACAGAAGAAAACCAGGTAGCTTACCTGTAACTGATGATCTTTGAGTGGTCATCTGTGCACTCACACCTCTGGGATATAGTGTGCATGTGCTGACCTCGATTGGGTCCTCTTGAAAGCGAAAGCGATTTTCGCGCCTGCTCCCCAGTCATGCACCGGCCCCACTGTGCATGACCAAGGGAGGGGCACGACAATCCCGCCAGTTCCTTCTGACCGCTACCACCAGTCTCAGAGTAATAAAAAGGAGAGGACCAAAAGCAGAGGGAAAGGAGGGCGGGCGGTGTGAATGCACAGATGACCACTCGAAGATAATCAGTTACAGGTAAGCAACCTGTTTATCTTCTTCGTAGTCTCTGCGCATCACACCTCTGGGATATTAGCAAGCAAAAAACAGGCCTACCTGGAGGAGGGAGCTGAAGGTCCTAGACTTGCGCTGCCTGCAACACTGCCTGTCCCACCATGGAACGTTGATGGACGCGCATCCAGGGCGTACTGCTTCACGAACGTGTGAGGGGTAGCCCAGGTTGCTGCTTGACAGATGTCAGTAAGCGACGAACCTCTCAGGAAGGCTGTGGACGTGGGCTACTGCCTGGGTAGAGTGCACTCTGAGCGGGCCCGGAAGTGGCCATCTGGCCAGTAAGTAGCACAGTTTGATGGTTTCCACAATCCACTTGGATAGACGCTGTGAAGAGAGCTTTTTCCCCTGCACAAGTGTGCTATAGGAGACAAACAAGGCTGGTGACTGACGGAATGACCTTGTTCTATCAAGGTAGAAGAGTATGGCTCTCTTGATGTCTAAAGTATGAAGACAGCGTACCTCGTCACTCGTAGGGGATGAGAAAAAAGTTGGAAGAGCAATGTCAGCTTGCAAATGGAACTTGGAAACAACCTTGGGCAGGAAAGAGACATCTGGGGCCAAGGTGACACCATCATGGTGAAAAACCAAGTATGGAGAATCGCAACGAAGTGCAGACAATTCACTCACTCGTCTTGCTGAGGTAATGGCTACTAGGAAGGTAGTCTTCCACATGAGAAGCTGCAGACTAGACGTGGCCCTGGGCTCAAATGGTTTGCCTGTTAATCTGGACAGTACTAGAGAAAAATCCCAGGAGGGAGTCAGCCCACGAGCCGGAGGAAGGAGGCGAGTGAGGCCCTTCAGAAACTGCTTTGTTTGCGGGTGAGAAAAAACAGAATAGCTGTCCACCGCAGGATGATTGGCGGAGATGGTGGCTAAATAGACTTTTAAGGAGGAGCAACTAAGACTCAAGTCCAGGCAGGTCAACAAGAATCCGAAAATTACCCTCAAGTCCATAGGGGAGGTGGTAAACCCAACGACTCAAGGTAGGACAGGAATTTCTTCCACTTCCCTTCATAGGAAGCACATGTAGCTGGCTTCCAACAGTTCAACAGAACAAGGTCTATCCTGTTTTTGAGCTGTGCTAGGGGATCCTCCACACCATGAGTTTGAGGTGTGGTACATTGTGGTGAAGCACTTGGCCCTCCTGAGCACGGAGGAGATCTGGTGCCGGGGGGAAACGTATGTAGGTGCCCCGGGACATATGAAGTAGAATCGGGAACCAGTGCTGATGTGGCCACCATGGTGCCACGAGGATGCATTGAGGTTGTTCCTTCATGATTTTGCTTAGCACTTTTGTAAGTAGAGGAATTGGTGGGAACAGGTACATGTGCCTGTGGGACCGTGGGAAAAGAAGGCCGTTCCCCCAGGGACAGTGGGTCCTGTCCCGCCCAGGTACAGAACAGATGACACTTCGCATTCTGACGCGTCACAATGCGTCTATTTCTGGGCGACCCCATCTGTGAAAAATTGGTTGGAGGTAAGCCCAGGAGTTCCCACTCGTGGAGGCATGCGCCTCCCCTGCTCAGAAAGTCCGCATGCACAATGAGCAATCCTGGCAGGTGAGCAGCAATGATGAGCACGCCCCAAGACTGACATTCGGTCCAAATCTCCAGGGCCAGTCGACAAAGTCCCCTGGGCACTGTCCTGCCTTGCCTGTTCAGGTAGCACAGTGTGGTGGTGTTGTCTGTCAAGATTGCCACCGTACGGTGAGCCACGAGGTGGCGAAAGGACCTTAGGGCATACTGGATGGCGACCAGTTCCAGAAAGTTGATGTGTTTGTGGGCCACATGAGGTTCCCATGATCTACTCTCCGGCTCGAGACAGGGGTAGATGCCGAGTGAGACTATTGGATTTTAGCCGCCTGAAGCAGGACTGATGTCATCAGTAAGGCTATCAGGGTAGAGGTGTCCATCTGTACGATATTGAACACGGAGTCTGTTATGGTAGACGGGGATTGCACCGTAGACAGGGTCAACATGTTTGCCATCCATCTGATCAAGTCTCCATAAGATTTGAGATCCTCTGACAGAGAAATTGGAAGATCATTGCCCACTTATTGAGGTGGTGAGGGTTCCATCTGAGGGTTGGGGTTTTCATCTCCTAATTGGGAGGAGGTGTCGGAAGAGATGGAATGTTCAGACAGTTCAGAAAAGGAAATAGGCAATATCGGTGTTGATGGGACTGGGTTTGATAGCCCTTTAAACTTGGGAACTATCGGAGGCGGTGGTTTGGGTGGTTTGCCTGTCAGCCTCAACGGTTGAGGATCTTGATATCGAGAGTCTCGGGAGGTAGACTGATGGTCCCAATCCACTGGTTGGGGTGGGAACCATGGCATGCCACTCAAGAATGGATAGGCCCCATACATGTATTGCCATTGCCGCTGATCCCAAGGAGGTGGTGACAGATGGATTGGTGCCGATGGCCGTTCTCAATCATTGGGTCAGAACGGTGAAGGACGGACAAAGGTGTCGGCTCCATGGTTGGAGTGTAGGCTTTCGACACTGGAAGACTGGGAAATTTGCGTCAAGTCCATATTGTGCTCAGAGTCAGTGAGCTGGATAGGACGCAGCAAAGTCGACCGCCGTACACCTTGTGGTTGCTCTCAGCTTGAGGAGTCAAGTGAAGCAGCCCCTGCAAGATTCAATTTCGTGGCCCTCTGAGGGGTCAGCAGAGTTTGCATAGGGGGAGTTTTCTTATGCTTTTTGTGCTTGACTGGCCGATCATCCTTGCACTCCCTGCGTTTTTTGGAGGGAGTATGGGCTTCGGACTGAGATGTCTGGGCCGAGCATTTCAGCATCGGGCGGTCGACATCTGAGTTAGTCAGTATCAGGGACAATGCAGCCGTCAATGCCGAGGCGGCAGTCGACATTGACGCATGCACCAAAGTGTCCTGTTACATCAGTGAGAGTGCTAACTCCAAAAGCTCAATGTGAAGTCTAGCAGCTCTGTTCTTTCTCGTCCGCTTTGAGAACTTCACGCAACGTGCACAAGAGTCCATTCGGTGAGATTCCCCAAGGCACAGAAGGAAAAGTGAGTATCCGTCCGGGGGAGCAATTTTACTACCGCACTTGCTGTCATCAAGACCAGTTCCCCACACACTGTGCTAGGATACGGGGGGGGGGGGGGGGGGGAGACACACACGTTATCTATGAAAAAGAGACCAAACAATAAAGTCCAAAAAGAAAACGAATTTGTAGTAACAATGTCCTTTCACTGAGCAAAAAAACAAAGAAACTTCGAAGAAAAAGAGGAATAGACCCTAAAGCCAAAATTTTTACCAACCGAAGCGGAGAAGATCCTACCAGCGTGTTGGTCAGAAGAGAACTGGCGGGATTGTCGTGCCTCTCCCTTGGTCATGCGCAGTGGAGCCGGCGCGTGACTGGGGAGTGGGTGTGAAAATCCCTTTTGTTTTCAAGAGGAACCGATTGAGGTCGGCACAGGCGCACTATATCCCAGAGGTGTGATGCACAGAGACCACGAAGAAGATTGTTACAGTGTATTACTATCAAACTTATTTGATGCAACATTAATGTACCTTAAAAAACCTCAGGATTTCTTTTTTTCATTGTTATCCCTCACTGATTGCAACACTATAAATGAGACCCGAGGCTATCGGAATTCTAAGAATACTACTGACTGAACACATTTCCTATTACTTCATTAGGAGATTTCCAAACCCCATATATACATGTGTGTCAGACTAGCCAGGTTTCTTGCAAGCTAGATGAATACAAAAGATTTTCTTTGACCTCGCTCTATGTTAGTTCATAGTTTGTTTAAACTCTATACCTTTCCTCTGATACTGCCAGTATCATTAGGCAAAATCTGTTCACAACCCAATACACTTGTCAATCTTTAACCGCCTCTAATCAGAGCATAACAGCAGCACAAGACATGATCCTTAAAAAAAAAACAAAGTCCATAATATTTTGAAGTAGCTTGCACACTGGAAAATGTGAAAATTCACTATACATACCCAAGGGCAGCAGGGTACTTGTGCCCTTCGTCATACATGTAACAAGCAATAAGTTTGTTATTTCATGATCTCCTGTAATTTTTAAGAGGTAGAAAGATTTTGGGCACCGGACAAATTATGCGTAAGGAACTAGCAGGCCACTGCTCGGCTATATCTAATAAATAGTAAGATTCACCCTTTTTTGAAGCAATCATCTTGTATTAATTTTCTCCAAACCCTGCTATGACAGCTCCTGTTAACTTCCCTCCCTCAGAGGCAAGATTTTCCATCTGTTTTTCTGTCTCTTTCTGACTGAGCCACCTTAGTAATGTCTTTTCTTCTTTGCTGAAGAACTCTGGCTCTCTCACAGTCACAGTATGTTATTTTACTGCTGGCTCAGTCCAGGAGCCTGAAGGAAGGGTTGAAAGCCCCCTTTCCCTTACATGACTGAAATGGAACTCAAGGTGTTTTGAAATTCAAAAACAAAATATTTTATTTAACACTGAGGGGAAAGAGCAGGTGAAATCAGCGGTAAATT